AACCCTACTCTTACTCCTGCCTCTCCCCCGGTTTTCCATTACAAGTGTCTCGGAGTAAGAAGAACCTGATGATTTTCTTCTTGTTTCTTCATTCAACAAACTGCTGGTAACTTGACTCATTGTTACCACTCCATCAGGTGCGGAGTTACTAACTGTGACCACCAAAGTTTCCCAGCTTTCGGGAAGTGAACTAAGAAGTAACAAAGCTTGCAACTCATCATCAAAAGTAATTTTCATGGCGGCCAACTGATTCACAATGCTCTTAATCTCATTCAAATGCTCTGCAATAGAAGTACCCTCCTTATATTTAGAGTTCACAAGCTTTCGAAATAAAAAAGCTTTATTCACTGTCGTCTTTGTATCATACAAACTCTCCAATTTGGTCCAAAGACCATGTGCAGATTTTTCTGTAGAGACATGATGAAAGACACTATCATCAATCCATTGCCGAATAAAACCGACAGCTTTCCGGTCTAGCTTTTTCCACTCGTCATCTTTCATCCCTTCCGGTTTGCCACTATCACCCTCTATGGGTCCATTCAAATCTTTACAAAATAAAAGATCTTCCATTTTAGTTTTCCAAGTCACCCAATTTGTGCCATTGAAACTAACCATACGTCCAACGTTGCCGTCCATAATTCACACACAGAAATATAACGAATCGGAACCGAATTAACCAATTGCTCTGATACCAGATGTTGGGAAAATAGGCTTTCCCACAAGTGTAAATCAATGGAAGCAATATAAATAAAATAACAGAAAATAAATAAGCACACAAGATTTACGTGGTTCCCTCAAATAACTTGAGGTACATCCACGACGACCGGTAGGTCAGTTTCTTCCACTATCACCAAATCAGATTACAAAGTGGCCAAAAGGCATAAGCCTTACAAACACACCAAGGTGTAAATCACAAGAGGAAAATACCTCACAAAATAAGTGAACCAAATCTCCAAGAACAAACCGCAAGAAACCCAAATATCAAGTGAAGAAATGTTACCCACTTGAAGAACAAATTTGCAGATTTTTGTGGCACCAAAAATGGAGAAGAAGAAGGCTGAATTTTCTGTTGAACCAAAGACTACCCAAGAAATCTTCTTGCCAAGCCAACCGAGAAGAGAGAAAACCAAGGAAATGACAAAAGCTTGTAACCTTATTTGGCTGCTCAAATTGCTTTAACGTGAAAACTCAAACCAAGCCTTGAATATGCCAAGAGTCATGCATGGGAAAGCCACCAAATTAAAATCCATGTGCTTACCAAGGTGCATGCCAAAATTAACAAAACTATATTTAGCAAATTGATAAGTCCCACAAAGGAGGGAAACCCAACATAATTAGTGGAGTAGAATATTCCCTTCCTGATATGTAGCAATTTGACTTCTAATTTATAGAAACCAGTTCATGTAATTTGCCTGATATCACTCAGTTTCCTACTGAAGATTGGTTTTTAAGTTTTGGGGAAAAAATAATTTAGGAATGATTTTCAGCAATTGGATTGAGTGAATCTTAATCACTCTTGTGATAAGTTAACTTAAGGATTTAAAATCAGTGTTAGCTTATTGTTATAGATATCATGAGCAATGCTATATACACTAAAATTTATACAAAATCACTTGCAATCGTTTGATCAATGAATCTCATCACTATAATCGGAGGACTACAATTAATTTTTAGTGCACATTAAATTATCCACATATTATTATTGATCAGTGATCCGAGTTGATACCAATGTCGTGGTATTACCAATACAGTGAATATTTTTTCTGTAAGACGGTGAATTATCATTATTTTCTGTTGATGAGGACGCGCACGCGCACGCGCACATGCTTGTTTATTTGCAATTACCATATGATTGTGAACGCAGTATCAAACAAAGAGCTTGCCCAACATTATCCACTCAATTTGACTCTTTCTTTGTTTCTCAGTGTTGTCACAATTCACAAACAAGACTGCCACTGCACACACACATAGTAAATATTCAATATAACGGTAATACTATGATATATGGTATCATTTATTGATAATAAAAATCTTACTTGAATAATTATTGACTTATATAAAAGAGTAATTATTAATTTGTGTTCAGTCTATTTTCTTATTTATTTACCTATTATTAGTTAGTAATACTACGTGAGACACTGACATTTATCACTTTTGTAAATTTTTTATCACCGTTATGGTACCAAAAAAAAATGTTAAAAATAGTTACCTAGTGATAAAAACACCCACAAAAATAGTAATTTTTTTTGTACCACAAAATATTGGATAAAAATAGTTAGTACAATAATAGTAAAAACAAACACAAAAATGGTAATTTTTTTATTATAAAATAATCCAAAAAAATTAAAAAATTTACCAATATAATACCGATTTTTTTTTCCTTTTCCATATGTTAGGTGGCATAATGTTTTTACAACCGGTGATTTGGGCGCACGTTAGAATTAGAAAGCCGCCTCAATTTGGAAGCTGTCAAAGCCCATCAACTCACATAAAGCTTGAAGGTGATAACATCTAAGCAAACATGGTTTTCTTGATAGGCACTTTTTTTTGTTTTTAGACTGACATGATCTGTAATTTGATACAATTACCTTTAGTTCACCAAAAATAAAACTTCATAGTAAACCACATTGTTCACCAGAAAACGGGAAGAAAAAACCTCCTAAGTTCGAGTCTCGCAAAAAAATCTTTAAACGTGAGCTGTCAATTAATTGTGTGTATCACGAGTTTGTTTATAGTCATGAGAAAATTTATAACCCATCGGTTCATTCTATAACACCACCACAGTCAAGACTAAAAAGTTTACTATACAAAAAGTTATTATTCGCATCATATGAAAAATTACAACACAATTGAGTTCAATTACGACTCAATCATGTCAAATCACAACTTAGATCCCGATTTTTTTGGTACCGTAGTCTTATCCGAGAGTGTATCATGTTAGGCGGGATTCCTCTCTATTTCGTCCATAAAAAAGCCCAATCACCGATCTAACTCAAAAATAATCATTCCAATCCTAGTCTTCTCCGCACAACCTCATATCTCCCATCTAATCTCCAGTAGTCGACAACCATGAAAATGGAGATTGAAAGAAGCAAAAAACCAACAAAAGAAATAAGATTAATTACACTAGAGGTCTCTTAAATATAAAATTTGTCTCATTTTGATCCACAATATTTCAATTACATCAGTTTAATCACTAAAGTATTGAATATATTTCTATGTAGTCTTTCAAACGGACAACATCTATATTACTAACGATTTTTTATTACAAACTTATCACATGATACCTAAATATTAACAAAAAAATAATTTAAATAACTTTTGACCAAAAATTGAGAAGCTCTAACCAAAAATATGCAATGTGTATAACTCTTAACCAAAATTTGAATAATTTGTTATCAAAATTGTTTAATTTAAATAGCTCTTTGGCCAAAATTTAAAGAAGAGTTATTCAAATTTATTTTTTATTTTTTTTTGGTCATATTTAAGTATTATATGACAAGTTTATAATAAAAAATTGTTAACAATCTAAACACTGTTTGCTTAAGTGACCATATAAAAATATATTCAATACTTTTAGAATTAAAAATGATACAATTAAAATATTAAAGACTAAAATGAGACAAATTATATACTTTAGGGACCTCTAGTGCAATTAACCCAAAGAAATAATAAACCCTCCAATAAACAACAAAACAGGTACCATCTTCTACGAAGCCTAAAGGACTTCTAAAGACAAACAAACACAACATTACCAACTTTTATTCCCCCAAGTACACCCTTCCAAATGCTAGCCTCCATTTCCAGTTGGAAGTTTTCTCTCACCATTTTCCCCCTCTAGAAAGTCCTTTAGCCATCTTATGCATAAAATGCAGCCTACCTCATATGTGCCATACAGCCTTTCTTCTTGGACTATGTTGCACAGTGGCCGATTCCCCAATTCGTTACGCCATTCAGAATCAATTAGGAGGCTAAAAAAACGTCACTTAATGCCAGCAACTCCACATTCTTCTCCTATATATGCACACTAAGCCCCTCAAAAACTCCCAAACTCCACCATCTATCTAAAGCACAAACTACTCCATTCAATGGGAAGACAAAGCAGTGATCCAACTCCTGTTGCTTCCTCCATTGCTCTCTTGCAGGAAAGATTTAGACAGCTGCAAAGAGTGAAGGAGCAGAGAGAGGAAAGAGACCTTCTAAGACAATTCTCGGGACCGGAACAGATAACCCTAATCAAGCATTCTGAACCTGACAAGTTGCCATTCCACCGTGAAACTATCTTCACCTCGAGATCAACGCTTCAAGATTCACTATCCCTTGGACTCAACCTGCATGGCAAGCATGCAGAGTTACAAGCCATGAAGACCTCACCCTTAACAAAGTTGTGGTCCACTGATCTCGCAATAGTGAGCGGTGCATCACACACTTCTGATAATTCTGAAGTTGATACCTCTCTGCATCTGTAATCTAGTCTATGTACTCAGTTTCAAATTCAGCCACCCATTTCTTTTTCTTTTTTTCCTTTTATAGTTTCTTTTCTTTTTATGCACTGTAAGAAAGTGAAGAGGAATAAGAAAATTAATGTTGACCTGTATTTTCCTAATCAACTTCATGTCTGGCGATTACACGGGCTTGATGGCCGCTATTGTCCAGTCTCTCCGGGTACAATTTTCTCATCATCACTTCGGCTTGAATCTTCATCCTCTCTCGATTTTCTTTTCCATATTCTGGGGACCAAGCGAGTGACCTGCTTGGTCTCTGTTGTTGAATCATGGTTTACACGTTCAAATCGGAGAGCACTTACCTTTCGACAATTTCCTGCCAATATCTGCAGGACATAAAAGACCCAATAAAGTTAGAAGTTAGTTCTATAAAAAAATTTGACCAAAAAAAAGTTCTATAAAATTCATCATCATTTTGGTTTAAACACCAGTTTTTGCAATTCAAACGTTATAGGATTATGACAGAACACCAACAAAACCTCCATAAAAGGCTTGGCTGATTCTTCGACTGTTTTCCTGTTTTCATCTTTAAAAATCCCAGTTGAAAATTTTAAATAGAAAACACGGTTTCAGATCACGAGATCCACAACCAAAAGAAAATCCGACTCCTATATTTCAAATTCTGCAAAACCAATGTAGTCTTTTCTTGTTAGATGTTGGTAATGTAATTAAGTAGTTCGTATATAAAGGAACCCTATGTATGAACAGCATGATGCAAGGGGAAAACAAATATTATAGGATAAATCTGAGAAAAGAAGGCTCGAGTAACTTCTAACATCTTTACTACCGAAAATGGTAACTGATTCTCACAACCCAAAGCAGGTCATCAAACTATCTGATGCAATTCAAGAGATAACTAGCGTGCCATACTAAGACTTGAAAGATAGGGCCTTGCAGTATAGAGAGGTGCACCCAAGTTGAAAATTACAAACACCAAAAGACTGCATTTTGATCCCAATATGTCAAGGCTAATCAGGAGTTGTATTAACCTTCATTTTCAATATAGTTCAAAATATCTACATCAAGGTGCCCTCGCACCATTTTGTTTTTTTCCAGTCACCTATCTCTCACTGTTAGGTCTAATCAGATGTTTCAGCCCAAACCTCTGCAAGTCAATTGCTTATCTTGGACATTACAAGGAATGTAGACCAAGAGAAAATTGATTTTGTTTTTAAAAAAAAGATGAATACACAAAATTATAAAGTTAAGTTACAACCTAATTATGTAAGGAAGACAACAACAACTAATATCAACCAAAGAATAACTAATACACAACAAAAAAACCATACCTCTAGCCTGAAAGTTTGATGTTTATCCTTCTGGTCTTGGTGGCCAGGTTCTGCTTCATCATAATTATTGTTCTCCTCTCGGTTTGCCTTTTCAAGCACTACTTTAATACTCTCACCTGTCCTTGGAATATACCCAAATGCTTCACATATAAAACCTGAAACTGTCTCATATTGATGTCCCTGTCATGTAATCGATTCGAAATCAGGTGACGTTAGTATGTAAAACAAGGGGAAACATGAAACCTTGCTCTTATAGACAACTTACAAAAGAAAATATGCATTTTTTTCTAAACAGAGACTGGATAAATCAAATCGATCCAATATTGACAGGCATTCACAACATCAATAAATAATGACTAGTTTTTTTTTAATCATTTCCTGATATTTCTTTCGAACTTTGGCTCAAATGTGATCATTAACTAACAAAAGGTGAGTGTTGGCAGTCGGTACACTGTACACTGGCTCCAGGTCAACCAGCTGATCAACATGATAATACAAATATGATCACCTGTCACCTTATATTATGCAATATGTTTACATTTACCAAACCCATAGGGAGAGAATTGCCTAAATTACAAAGTACCATGACACACTCAGTCTAAAGGCAGCAACTGCAAATTCATTTGACCTACCACACAATATCAACAGACAAGATTGACTACAACCATAAAATTCTGCTCAGCAAGAACCACGAGGAAATCCATAGTTCAATTTCCACATCTGCACAGATACTTTCTAAGCTCATTGAACAGAGACAATGAATTTCACTCAAGCTTCCCGGTAAAAGCCTGGCCAGATATATTTAGGAACTATTTTCTGGCAAAAACAAATGGAGCGTTCCCCAACTTTGTGCAAACTTGTTTAATTCGCAACTACTGATCACAAAGTTTCAGTAATTAGAAGAGACCATGTCAAACAAATAATGATTAAACCGACGTCATAGAGATAAAATTGTTCCCAAATATTAAATCGTTTGTACTTTTCTGAGCTTTTGTTTATGAAACATCAAAGTTTCTATTTGTTGAAAAATATCCTTAAACTTCTTAGTCAATTAAAGAGAACATCATATGACTGTTCACGTATGTAATGCATATTACACAAACTTACAATTAAAGATGAGAAATACGTTGTGAATTTAGTGAAGTTCACCAGCATCAGGTGCCATTTTCAAAAGATTACCAGAAAAATTTATTCACCGCGTGTCATGCTGAAAATAAATTTGAATGGCTTATTTTAGAGACAAGTAAAGAACCAGTAAGAGAATTTATGATGGAACAGTTAATGCATTTCAACTTCCTGTCTTTTGCTCTTCCCTTCTTTAAGAGAGACCAATATTCCATCTAGGAAATACCAATTTCAATTCTCTTATTCCAGTAATGTTTTCAAAGAAACGGATACAAATCCTCTCCATTACAATTTCACTCAATAGTAGATCACCCGCCATTACGGATGAAAGATCCACTCATAAATAATGGGTCCCACTTGAATATATGGTAAGTGATCTACCATCGAGTGAAATAGAGTGAAAGTGCAAGGGAGAGGATCTCAATCCCAAAGAAACAATAGTCAAAGTAGATCTATCTAGAAACAAGAATCTCACTTTCAAGTGTGAAATTGTCAAGTGTTATATCAATCCAAGAACAATTAATATCACATTAGGATGAAAGAAAATTTCATTTTAAGGCAGCTAAAAGGAAAGATAAATAATCAACGCACAAAAAAATCAAAAATTCATTTTATGAAGCTAAAAGGAAGAGTTTGAAGTGAGAGAGAGTGGGGGGGATAACAATAATAACTGTGGACTAAATGGTTTTGTCTGACCTAAATGGTTTCCAATAACGTACCCCCAAAAAAATGGCTTCCAATAAATTTCAAGATTTTTTCCATAAAGAAACAAAAATTTCACAAGAACAATGATGACAGCAAAGTAAAGTGGATTGACAATCTATGACACAGAATATGTTCCCTACTGTACAGCAATGAACTGCAATGCATGCAGTCCCAATCTACTGGGTCAATGGCATACACTGATGGTAATGTACTTAGACTAAGGTAAGATACTAATAATACAAAAACCTAGGTATAAATTATACAAAAACTTACGTACTTAAAAGAGGATCAGACAATCATAAACACTCTGAGGATATTAGACTCCGAAAACATGAGAATATTTTGGTACCCGAATATATAATCTGATGCATGATATTTTGGTTCCTATGGAAGTTTGTATCTCAGGAATTGATGAGGTTTTGCCAAAACTTAAGTTTTGTGGTGGGTAATGGGGAGGGAGAGAGTTTGTTTTTGCGAAAATATTTGGGTGGGGGATTCACCTTTTCGTGTTTGTTTCACGTCTATGACACAAAATATGTTCCCTACTATACGGTGATGAACTGCAATGCATGCAGTCCCAATCTACTAGGTTAATGGCATACACTGATGGTAATGTACTTAGACTAAGGTAAGATACTAATAATAAAGAAACCTAGGTATACATTATACAAAAACTTATGTACTTAAATGAGGATCAGACAATTGTAAAAACGCTGAGGATATTAGACTCCGAAAACTTGAGAATATTTTGGTACCCGAATATATAATCGGATGGATGATATCTTGGTTCCAATGGAAGTTTGTATCTTGGGAATTGACGAGGTTTTGCCAAAAACTTAAGTTTTGTGGTGGGTAATGGGGAGAGAGTTTTTTTTTGAGAGGATACTTGGGTGGGGGATTCGCCATTTTAGTGTTTGTTTCTCGACTATATCATTTATACTGTTTTCATGGATCTTCTATTAAGACCATTACTTATACGTTCTTGGGATTTTGGATCCTGTAAGAATTTAGTTTATAGAGATACTAAAGATATGATCTCATTTATTGAATCCCTTAATGCCTCTTTTTTGAATCAAGAGTCATTCGACAAATGAAGGTGGTTTCTAAATCATTTTTTGATTTTTTGTTGGACGAACATTCTAGTCCTTTCTTTATTCGAACTTTGTTTATTTGGAAGGCCAAAATGCCTCTTATAAGTGCAAATTTTTGCATGAACTGTTGCACATTATAAGATTAATACCTTTGATATCCTTTAGAAAAAAAGGCCCAATACTTTTTTTCCCCTCACTAATGCATGATGTGCAAAGGTGATTTTGAAAGCATTCATGATTTATTCTTACATTGTCTCATTGCTTTGACTTTGTGGTATAAACAAGTTTGGGGGCATGAGTTGGGTGATTCCGACTTCATCTACATTTTTCTTTGTGGAAGATTTGAAATGTCTTGGTAGATATGATAAAGGTAAGACTTTTTTGGAATTTCGCTATAATAGCTCTGTCTTTGGTTATTTGGAAGGAAAGAAATGCAAGAATGCTTAATTGCTTAAAGGATTGCATTCATTTCTTATCATGGTTTTGGGCCTCGATCATACAGGGTTTTAAAGGGAGTTTTTTTCTATTCAAGCAAGATGGAGAGAATCATGCAATTTATAGGCATGCAATGTTTTTTATTGAATTTTCTCTATTCCTCTTTTGTTTTTTCTTGGTTGGATTTCTTATTTGATGTAGAACAAGAATCAGCCATTACTCTATTTCATTTTTATTTCTTTTATTTGTTTAGAGTAAGAGTTAATTAGGAATATTCTAGAGTTATTTACTGCATAAACCATGGTAATTTTTCTAATTAATTAGACAGGCGTTTATTTGTTTTTAGAAACTTTCCTAAGATTAGGATTTGTTTCCATCTTGAAAAACTTAAAAATTTTGGTTTTTCCTATAAATTGTCAAATGTATTACGATTCTATACCGTTAAGTGAATAATATACCTTTTTTGAAATATTCTCTTGTTCTTTTATCTGCAGATTTAGAGTGTGTGTTCTATAACTTCGAATTGTAGTATTCTTCATGTCTTTTATTTTGTTGTGTCAATTGGTATTAGCGCATTGACTAACCTGACATGATCACTAATCAGCAAAGTGGTGACAACTTTCCCCATAATGGTGATTATGTGAAAAGTGCTCTTCTGGGAGCCAAATTCATGGATTTCCAAACAACAGCAATTTCAACAATGTCACCAATCCTTAAAAGCACTACAAGACATGGTTGCCCAGTTGATGGTGGGTCCAAACCAAGAACCCGATCAAAAGAGGGTGATGGCGATAGGGCTCATGTTCAACCCAACCAAGATCGTCTTCCGGTCTATACCGCGAGACAAAATGTTCATGATATACCCGCTTGTGTAAAACCTATTGCAGATTGTAGTGACGGTCGTGAATATACTGCAAGTATATTTGATTCTTATGATTATGCTAGATATCATAGAAGACATGATTATGAGTCTATAGATTTTCGTAGAATCAAAGTTGACCTTCCTATTTTTTATGGTTACCTTCCTACAGAAGATTTTCTTGATTAGTTGACTAAGGTTGAGAGTTTTTTTAATTATATGCGGCTTACAAATGATGAGGTGGTCAAATTGGTGGGATATAAATTAAGGGGTAAAGCTCGTTCTTGGTGGGAACAAGTGCAATCTTCATATGTACGACAGCGAAAAGCTCCAATTTGGTCGTGACCTATGATGAAACGGTTACTAAAAGAGACGTTTTTACCTCTTAGATTATAAGCATATTTTATTCCATCAAAACCATCAATATTCTGAGGTTAATAGGTCCATTCAAGTAACTATACCTCATTCAAGAATTATGCAGATCCACATCAGAAAAGAATTGAAGGAGATCAAAAAGAATATATGGAAGATGATAAGACTCGATGGATTTATGGTGATGCTAGGGAGCCTCTTAAAGTACCTTCAAAGGGAAGCTGAAGACAAGATTGATGAGAGTGTTGTAGGAGATGAAGCCACAACTGGATTTACTTTAGCTGAATGTGACACACATAAGTTCGTTGAAATCGGTAGACATATGTGAAGTTGTTGTGGTGAAGCTTATAGACAAGCAAGAAGAGGATCAGAGTTCTCAATTATGTAGAGCTAGTGGTATTTCTGAGTTGTTTGATACTTTTGATGTTGATAATTTTCAAAAGATTATTAATCTTTATATTTTTTTTGTTGTTAGATGATGACACTTTCTGTAGTACCATTCTTGAACATCACAACAATTCGAGGGATGCCATAAACAAAATTTGATATTGATCATAATTTTGACATTCTTGAGTTGAAAGCAAGTCAACGTGAGGTGAATGTTGACTTGACTTTGCAAAATGTTTGTCAAGAAATTCTTAAGACCCTGTTATAGTTACCTAAGGTTGTGAATGGAAGATTATTTTATCAATTTTTCAAGGCACAATAGATTCATGCAAGTATGTGTTTAAAAATTTTAATTTGAAGTACAAAATTGATGCAGAAGAGAGAGGGTCTGATGTAGAACAAGAATCAGCAATTATTTTAGTTTATTTTTATTATTTGTTTAGAGCAAGAGATAATTAGAAATATTTTAGAGTTATTTACTGCAGAAACCATGTTAATTTTCCTAATTATACATGTGTTTATTTGTTTTTAGAAACTTTCATAAGATTAGGATTTATTTCCATTTTAGAAAACTTAGGATTTTGATTTTTCCTACAAATTATCATATGTATTACGATTCTATGCAGTTGAGTGAATGATATACATTTTTAGAGATATTCTCTTGATCTTTTTTCTGTGGATTTAGAGGGTGTATTCTATGCACTTAAAATCGTCGTAGTGTTCTTCGTGTTCCCTTGTCCAACTTCCACTGCGTCATTATCCAACCTTTTTTATTGCACCCTTCTTTTTTACTCTTCGATTTTATCAATAAAAGAGTTTTGTTTCTATCAAAAAGGGAAAAAAATTCCCTTGAACAAGAAACTAATACTTTACCAAGGACATAACAAGTTTACAACCATTTAATGCATAATCACTAGGCTTTTCTTAGAATAACAAATTGTCTTGCAAGTTTTATAAGACCAAGAACTCACTGTTGCACCAAAAGGATATCTATGCCATCTAGCATCCATAAACAAATTCAGGCACCAAAGAATGGCAGATATTGCATATGATGGTGATGAGAACTACAACCAATAAAGAAACACCAATCCAAGTAGGAAGCATAGCTCAAATATAAAAATGTTGCCTTGTAATGCTCTAAGGCAGACATTTCCTTTTTTAGTTCTATACCAAAGTAATGTATTCTACAACCACAACACATCATCCTTGGTAGCAAATTTAATTTAGATCATTCAGTCTAGAGTTTCAGCATATGGATCGAAAATGGAAGCAACCAAGAGAAATTCAAACATATCCTTGGAACAAAAGATAGAATTCGAAGGATAATTCCCGAGGTCTGGTGGCCCTTACTCTTACACCACTTGTGTGTATTTAGAACAGGAAGTCATGACCAAGAGAATCGAACTGCAACAGAGGATTTATTAAGCCACTACTAGCTAACAACACTGCTTGGAATAAATGGCAAATTGCCACATCAAGACAAAATGAACAAGTGTGAAATTTAACGGCAAGACAACTAAAAAACAGCCATACCTCTGGCAAAGTGATATCCAAATCTTCTGATAGTTGGTCAATTGATGTATTTGCATCAACATCGTATACTCCTTCTGCTCGCATTACAACATAACCAGTTTTCTTTTGGATTTCCTCCTGCAAATCATCAGAAGTATAAGAAATATTACAAAATAGGACCACCAAATTAAAACATTAACAGAACTCAAGATGGTGCCCCATCCACCTGCACACATGTCAACTCTAACAAACTAAAATTAAAACCACCAGAGAACAAACTAGTTTCAAGAATCATTACTGAAATGTAACCACCGCTACATCATTTAGCCTAGACGCCTAGTGCATTTAGTTTCACAGGTTTTATTAACATGGGTCACCTGTAACTTTTAGGAAGTCTTTCTCATTCTTATCTACCACCGAGACACATGTTTTTTGGAATTTGAGACGTTCAATAATTACTGAATTATCTAAGACCAGCAACAAATATTGCCAAATAATTGAAGTCCCGTTTCTAATAATAACACTGGTTACCCCAGCCAACAAAAATTTCAATTATGAAAAAGTTAGATAAATAAGTATTACTAGGAAGCACCAGGGGAAATTAGCCTGCTACAGTAAAAACTCATTTGAGGAGATCAAATATGCTTTACTACTTATTTAACCCATAAAATCAATTGAAACCCCTGAGTTAATAATCAAATGCTCAGAAGAAAATTAAGGACAATACTAATATCAAGAACACACAAGCATGCTGAAAATCTACCCAAGATTATTAAGGCTCCAAGAGTAATAAGTTTTGAGGTGGACTAGAAGAGATCTTATACCAAATACAAACTGCAATGTAGCAGTCAACCTATAGAAGGGACTTAACCACATCCTTATACTAACTCTTCAATTGTTTTCCCTAATTAGATTACTTTTATGATCAAATGTCAGTATATATTCAAATATTAGATAGTTGACCAATAGAACAACAGCGGGACACTCCTTTAAGTGGACAGCTAATATCAAGCTGCTAAGTGCATGAATCCTGAGTGTGTCTTCATTAATGTTGACATTTTATTTCACAAAAGATACAGCTGAATAAAATTCAAAATTGAAATCGAAGACACATACCTTTGAGTCATTCTCATCAAAAATTTCACCAACAATTTCCTCAACAACGTCTTCAAGGGTAACTATCTGTTTCATCCACAAATGCAAGAATTTTGAATAAGGTCTAGCAGATGAAACTAAATAGATATTTTCAGTAAGTCAAATCGTTCAAATATTACCAACAGCTTGGAAAAGTTCTATTTGTTACTACCCAATTACCTTAATACACTTCTTGGTTGATACAAGAAAATAAACTTTTACAAAGTGATCTTTGTGGTGCAGTTTGCTCAAAGATCAAACACCTTCTCATGTTCCTAGTCTGTAAATCTCAGGAGCTCATTCAATATATTTGGTATACCACATGATTTAAGATAGAAAAGAATGCACGACAATTGGCAACAGGAAATGGCAGAGAAGTGAGAACTACCATGCCAGCCATCCAGAATCTTACTCTGACATACTGGGACGCAGAGAGCAATTTATACAAAATAGTAATCAAGTCGACAAAATTAGAATGCAACAACCTGTAAAGAATACCCAAAATTTTGCTGCCTCATATCAACCTCACAAGAGAGGACAGGCAATGGATCATTGCTCCAAAATTTTACTGCCTCAGATCAACCTCACAAGAGAGGACAGGCAATGGAACATTGCTCAATGTTTATGGTGAATAGGTGCCCCTGGAAAGTGACGTGTTCAAGAGAAAATATAAAACGAATTGACCTTGTAATGGTGACAACAGCAGTGTTTTAGTTCTATGTTGGCGAGTAATCCACACACGTCTTCACAATATAAACTGACTAAGAAATGAGAATGTTGAGGTAAAGAGGCAGGATAAGAAAAATGAAAGTTAGAGGTGCAAAAATTAATGATGATGGAAAGACGGGAGCCAATTTCTTGCCCGTGCAATGATACTACAAAGTATTCAAATGGAGGACAGCACAAACATGAGGAAGGCAAATAAACATGTGGATCAAGGATGTAAGCCTTAAGGACTTTTGGAGATAACAGGCAAAGAAGAAACCACCTAACGAGCACTGGTAATGAGGTTTGAGTAGAGTGAAATCCTAGTTGCAACATTGTTGTAGATGGGAAAGAAAGCAATTCAACAACAGAACCCATCGACCAGGTACAATGTGCCAATCAACATAAAAAGATAGATCAGGTCATGAGCAAATTCAGTTTCTATGTCTGGGAAATTTGCCTTAAACGCTCAATAAAAATTTTCCATCACACACAAGGAAAAATTAAGAAAATAAACACGTAGCATCTCTTCCTATAATCATCAAGGACAAGTGCATACTCCCACAGTTCCTCCATATTCATTAAGAACCACAGCCATGTGAACCTTCCGGATGCGGAACTCTCTTAGAAGATTCCAGACCGACATAGAATCTGCAACATCATAAAAACAAATTGTTGCATTTGGACAACCCATGGTTAGCATGTATCAAAAGCAGCAGTACTATTATCAATACAATCCTACACCGTGCCTGAAATTGTTGCTAAGGAGACTGCATAAATGTTCAATTATGTGGCCCTTCAAAACAGGACTAACATATATATCAGATAAAACGATAAAGGATAGACTTAGAAATGAGTAGACTCGTAAACCCGTAGAAGTGGCACCAATAGAAATAGAAGATAAATTAAGAGAGAATCGACTTAAGTGGTTTTGACATGTTTATAGAAGACCTAATAATGCCCCGGTAAAAAGAGTGTACATATCAATGGTAATGCGAGAGGTAGAGGTAGCCCTAAAATAACTATGAACGAAATATTAAAAATCAATATGATAGCTTATGGCCTAACGGAACATATGACCCTTCATAGAGTTCAATAGATTAAGGCTTTGTTGAATTGAGTTGAGCTGAAATATATCATGATTCAAGGCTCATCAAACCAAGCATTTCTAGCCAATCAGTGAGCAAGCAAGCACAAACCAAATTACAGATTAGTGGGAAAAGTATAGCAAGTAAATTGTCCCTACAATCAAGGATATAACTACTACCGGGAACAAAATATGCAGGCTTGTGTGCAATAGCTCCCACAGTTGAACTTTCCAGTACTTCTCCCTTCAAAAATTGAAAAAGAAAGAACACTATATTATTGGTATGCAAACAATCCAATACTTCAATGATGATGAGAAGAAACTAGCTTACCTTTTGAACATAATCCAGTAGATCCATTGCATAAGCAATACCCACTATATTATCAACCCGCTGCTCAAAAACTGGAACCCTACAAGCACATTTTAAAACATCTTTGGAAGACAAGTAAGAGTTAAAAAAAATGCTCACCACTAATGAGCTTTACATATATACCTGGAATATTGGTGAGTCACCCAAAAACTGTGAAAATCAATAAGAGTTGCACTAGCATCAATTGCAACAACATCTACAAGGGGGGTCATCACCTCCTTAACATATGTATCTTTTATCTCCAGCACATTTTCAATCATATCCTGCAGGTAATTGTTGGCTACTCAGCAATACAATGTTGAACAGTATGCAGCAATGAGATGTGGGAAGTGGTGGTAGAACTCTCAACAACAATACTGAAAACAGTAAATTAGACTAGGAAAAGTACAATTTACCTGTTCTTCCTCCTCAATTGCACCACTTAACTCTGCAACTCTCAACATCAACTTCAGTTCATCTTCACTGACATTCGGCTCACTAATAGGTGGAACAATGGAGATCGAGGAGCAAGCAATATATAGACACATATGCATAATACATATACATATATATGTATATGTATATAGCTTCTTTAATGGAGGACCATGTATAACGGTTTAAGAACGTAATTACATAAGTAACCTTAACAAACAATTAAAAATTCCATCCATACCAGGTTTGCAAAATAATCTACCAAGAATAACTCTAACAAAACTTTGTAAAGATACTGAATACAAGATAGATCAATCACTATGTTCAGGGATGCTTACGGTCTTACTTATCTCTAAAATCTATTAAAAGACCCATATGAGAGATGCTCAGTTTAATGTGGTTTAATATGGCAATGGACAATTCTTAAGATAGGCCATACTAGCTTTGTCATTGGAAATTTGGATTGGACATAGGAGATAGTGGCACAAAAATAAGCATCCCCAGTCGAAAAATGTAGAGAACTGAAGTGAGAGTAAATTTGCTAATAGATACCTTCTTCCTTTCAAACCGAGCATTTTAAGCATTCCCATCGACAAAAATGTTACAACCCTTCCGACGGGATACAATATCAATGAAAGCCATGCAACCGGCCGGACCTAATGATATAATATCCAACACAATCAAATCAATCTGAATTGGCAGAGTGGAACAGCAGTTGTTAAGTAACACTCACAAAGATAATAAAACACTGCCATAAAATTCAGTAAGAAGTGAAATTGATTAATATTTTAAATTCACTTCTCTTCAATTATAAGAAACTCAAGGAAACATGAAACCATACCACAAACCTAGCAACCTCTGTGGCATGGTGGACAGCTATACTCTTTGGAGTAATTTCTGTGAGGAGTAAAATAGCAACCTGAAACAGTTCACTAAGAACTTCAGCTTAAATAAAACTACATTAAAATAAGTACTGGGAGACATTTCAAACACCAGAGCATAGATTCTCACATACAGATGAACACAACTTCAAGGCACAAATGGTTTGGGGAAGGGGAAATTAGAAAGATTTGTTTTGATAAAAGAAATTCCTCCAAAATATGGAAAAATACAATAAACTGAATGGATTTGCTTCCTGCCTTGAGAGCAGAGGCTTATGTTATTCCTTTAGTTGTCGGAATTATCATTCGGACACTGAATTTATCAAAAAAGACAAAGGAAACTTCCATATAAAGGAGTGTCATGAGAGAGAAAGGACGTAAGTGGACATCATCCATGAACCACCATTTTTAGAATCTCATCCTTTAACGACCGTATTTTCAGGCAAATTCTGAGGGTCCTTACTACTTGAACACAAATAAAAAAAGAAATTAGATTAGGCTGGTACATGAACAAGAAGATGCGCATGTTGTTTCTATGCACACGCCCGGGGGGGAAAGGTTGTTGTGCAGCTGATTGGGACAGTCAGGGAGTTAATAAATCGTCCAACCAGATGGGTAGTCTGGGGTGAACAAGTACAGAGAATCCAAAAAGTAGGCAGAGCCAACTTCCACACACCAAAAGCATGAGGTAAGAGCATTTCCAATTGTTTCTGCCATGTTTACAATAACAAAGTTATATACATACATTTTTACAATGCCAAAACACTATATTTGTTATACCCGCTCCACTAGTGCATATCAGAAAATGTCATTTTTTGTCACAACCAGCATTCAATCTTCTGCTATTCAACAGACACCCAGTAATGATAATATTGAACACGTGCGGTCACACACCAAGGAGAGAAGGTTGGGCGAGTGTGTCCAGTTGTATGTATTTCCAATGTCTTTAAATTGTGCATTGAATTAAAATTTACTTAATATGTTTGGTGTTTCAAAACTAAAATATATTCATTTATTTTAAGGATACATGATACAAACAAAAATGAAATATACAAGGTTCCATCTTTATGAAGTGCCACTTCTTGTTTGACTTGCCAAATAGCACATCATTAGAGATGCTCAACATCTTTGGTCTCTTTGGCGACAATAAAATGTAATATAGCAAGATACAAAGATGCTATGAAGTTGATGATGATGGATTTAAGTCTGGGCCCCCTCCAAAGCCTAGAATCTCTTTGGGCTCACGCAGGACAACTCAAGTATCTCATCCAGATAGCATTCTGTGGGCCTGAGCTGGACCACAGTCCAGTTCCATAGAAGCCCACAATAATCTAGCTCGAAATAGATGACAGCTCGACATCAGCAAACTCGATATAGATATCCACTCGGTAGCTAGGAGCTCAGCATTAAGAAATTCACCAATGGTCGTACCGCGACAAGTGGACAGGAGACAAAGGGACAGTACCTGGCAATCCTAACGAACGAATATCCACCGATAGTGGAGATAGCTCACATATTTTGTTCAAGGCATGGTGGGCGCTGGAGAGTGTACAGAATGACAGATCCAGCAACAGGACAAACAAGGAAGGGAACACAAAAATCAGTCAGGAAATAAATTATCACGAAACCCTAACAACGGGATGTATAAATAACAAACGATGTCACTGTGTAAAGATATATGAAAAAGAGATCACCAAACAGTACCCTACGAACTATTCTGTAAAAAGCTTTCAGTCAAATATCTTGTAACAGCAACCTTCTTCCTCAAGTAATACAATTCCCAAAGAACACGAATCTCTCTTACGGTGAATGTAACCTTAGTCCTTCGATTGAGGTCAACTACTCATATTATTGTCTGTCTCACCTTCAACACTTAGCATATTTTCTTTCACATAGACACATTCTCATTCCCTCTGGTCCACACCCCAGATTGTTCTGTAATTGGATGAGTTGATCTCGAGCACCATCAGCTTGGCCCCATCTGTGGGAACGATTTTCATCGTTTCTTCCTAAGTTTTCTTCATACATTTTTTGGTTTGATGGTCTCTACTTGAAATATGAGTAAGTCTCACGCCAATCCGCAAACGCTGCAGAACCAACCGGGAAACCTCCCAACTCCAACAGTAAACATTGAAAACAACCCTTCAGTGGCGGACCCAGTCTCTCTCAATGAGCTGGAGACATACCGCCGAACCACAACACAACTGATGAAGCAGAACCAGGATCTCGTAGCATAGATTCAGATGCATCATCGCTCTCAAGCCCTGCTTGAGCCTCTTGCGCTGCCGCTACAACCAGCTCGAAACAACGTTCCTCCTCAGGATCGCTAAATTCCACCACCAAATGGGGTCATGGACCTCCATGACCATAGCCACTTAGGAGAGAACAACCGTCGAATATAGCCAGAAGAATGAACAGACGACAAGGCTCAAAGCCGGGCCCGAGCCATTCTAAGGGAGGATCGCCTTCCTCCACCCCAGCAGGACACCATTAACCAATTATGGGAACGAAGGTTTCAAAAAATTTAGCAGGAGCTAGGAAATGTTAAGGAAGTGATGAAAGGAAAAACTCCTGTCACCATGGACGCCCTGGTCCAGCAAACTGAGTCCCTATTTGCTACATAAATCCTGCATTTTCCTCTGCCCCAGGAGTTCTGAATGCCACAGATAGAGGCGTGCTATAGGACTAAAGACCCCGTAGAACACCTCAACTCCCACAAAACCAGATGAAACTCCATGGGTATCCTAACCCCATCCGTTGCCAAGCTTTCGCCATGACCCTTAAGGGGTCGACAATAGCATGGTTTAATAGACTACAACCAACATCAATTTCTTCTTTTCGAGAACTCTCTATACAGTTAATGTCACACTTCATCGGGGCACGAACTTATCAGAAACCATCTTATGATCTTTTAAGCATCAAACAAGGACCCAACGAATCTCTCAAAAACTATGTACAGAGGTTCAACCAGGAGTCTCTAAAGGTCGAAAATGTAGATGAAAAGTTCGCCCTGACAACCTTTATGTCTCGGCTCAGCCTCTAATTTAAAGATTTGCTATTCTCCATCGCTATTCGCTAAAAACCCCAGGCAACAATGGCTAAGGTCTTCGTCAAAACTGACAAGTATATAAACGAAGAAGAGGCACTTCGCATGAAAAAAGGTTCATCAACATCAAACAAGGGCGAGAAGAAGAAAAGAGAACGCAATCCCCAATGATGGAAAAAAAACCATCCCCCAAAAGAAAAGAAAATGTTAAGGACCGTCTCAACCTACCACCTCAAGAGCTTTAGTATAGCCATGGTACGCACCAGCTCGACTCACCTCCCTAAATGCCACCATCTCTCAAGTCATCCACAAGGTCCAAAACAAGAGGTTCGTCAAATAGCCGCCAAGGATGAAGTTAGAACCCCGAAGACACGATCCCACCAAGTACTGTGACTTTCACAAAGACAATGGTCATGACACTGACAATTGCATCCACCTGAAAAAGAAAATAGAATACCTCGTTCAACGGGGCCACCTACAGCATTATGTGGTTAGGGAGGGGAGAGATCGGAATGAACGAGATAGAGATGGCTGAGTTGCTCGTCCACCCCAACAGTAACACCAATGCCCAGGGTGAGATAAGAGTCATTTCAGGGGGCTTCGCTAGTGGAGGAGAGCCTACACCAGGAGCGCCAGGTTGGACAATTTCCTCGATATCAAGGCCCCATACCAAGATCTAAAAATAACTTTCTCAAACGCTAACTTGGAGGGGTGTCAGCTCTCCCATGACTATCCTCTGATCGTAAAGGCCATCACCGCCAACAAGACAGTGCACCACGTCCTCGTAGATAATGACAATTCGGTCGATATCATTTTTCTTTCTGCTTTCAAACAACTCAGGATAGACAAGTCAAAGCTTGAACCCGTAAAGACCCATCTATTCGGCTTCTCAGGGGAGAGAGACAAGCCTCTAAGATTAATCCACCTCATTCTCACATTGGGAGACCACCCTTGCCAGTGCACCACCACGGTCCGTTTCCTTGTAGTAGACGCACATTTCGCCTACAACGTTCTGCTTGGCAGACCCTCTCTCAACTCCATCAGAGTCGTCCCTTCAACATATCGCTTGGTTATGAAGTTCCCAATAGAAAACGGAGTTGGGTTGGTGAGAGGGGACCAACGCGTTACTAGGGAATGCTACATAGCATCCATGAGGCAAAAAAAGGTGGAATCTATTAAGATAAACGACTTGGATATGAGAGACAAGATCGAGACTCAACCTCAGCCATCAAAGGAGCTAAAGCCGGTACAGGTTGACAAAGACCTGGGCATGTGGTCTTTGTAGGTTCTATGCTATGTCAAGACACTCCTCACCACCAAGGAAAGACAAGACCTCCTCGGTATGACCACCAGAATGGAAAGCCAAAACTTCCTCAACACTCTCATCACTCCCATCCCCAGACACAGAATCAAAAGAGGTATCGGAAACTACCCACCCCATTGGGGACTCAAATTGTAACCCAGAGTGCAAAGAAGGTAGATGAAAAACACAATCTATCAAAAATAAAGAGACTAAACACCAGGATTTGACCAAGGACAACCTCAATAGAAAAGAATAATCTACAAATCCTGAGAGAAAAGCAAAATTGCCAAAGTGATTCCAAAAATAGCTAAACCTCCAAATAATGAAACGAAACCGGTGGCCCCATCAGCGGGGATTAAAGGGATCCAGAACGAAGGGAAAAAAAAAAGACGAATACGTACCTAATGAAAAGCTAAGATTACTTCGCAAAAGAACAAAAGTCCAAAATTCTCAAAACCACCGGGAATACAAAGCAACCACCTTAGAGTCCAGAAAAAGGAAAACGAGCGAGAAAAGACCGAAATTCAAAATATTAGTAAAAAGGCAAAAGGCGTTTTCCACCTTTTTTTTATAACATTTATTACCACGATGAGACATAGGAAACGTACATGAGGAGCCCTTTCCCTGTGACGTGTGTCCTTTCCTAACACGTCTCTCACATCGGAGCAAATATGGGAAAACTAAACACGCCACCAAAACAACGTTGTAATCATGAGAAACCGTCATCCACAAAAGTAATCATTGCGGTGGAAAGGACGATTTTAACCCTAGGACAGAGTTGGAAGGTCATCCTCTTGATCAGGGGCTGGTGGGGGCAACTGATGATGATGAATTTAAGTCTGGGTCCCCTCCAAAGCCCAGAACCTCTTTGGGCTCACACAAGACGACTCAAGCATCTCATCCAGATAGCAGGCCCGAACTCGACCATAATCCAATTCGATAGAAGCCCACAATAATCCGGCTTGAAATAGATGAAAGCTCGGTGCAGATACCCGCTCAGGAGTTGAGAGCTGACTCCACGCAATTCACCAATGGTTGTACCGCGATACGTGAACACGAAACAAAAGGACAGTACCTAACAAACAAATATCCACCGATAGTGGAAATGGCTCATGTATTCCGTTCAAGGCGCAAGAAAGCGTCAGGCATGATAGACCCAGCAACAAAACAAACAAGGAGAGGACTACAAAATCAGCTAGGAAAGGAATCATCACGAAACCCTAACGACGGGATGTATAAGTAGCAAACGATGCCACTATGTAAAGATATATAAAAAAGAGATCACTCAGTAGTAACCTAAGAACTATTCTGTAAAAAGCTTCCAGTCAAATACCTTGTAATAACAATCTTCTCCCTCAATCAATACAATTCCCAAGGATCAAGAGACTCCTTTACCGTGGATGTAACCTTAATCCTTCGGCGGAGATGAACCACTCTTATTATTATCTTTGTCTCACCTTCAACACTTAGCATGCTTTCTATCACATTGGCACATTCTCATTCCCTCTGGGCCACACCCCAGATTGTTTTGTAATTGGGTCAAGTTATTTACAGCACCATCAGAAGCATAATAATAAGACATGCAATAAGATGATAAACTTGAGGTGTCAAACACCACCCCTTAGGTTGCAAGTTGGGCAAGTTCAGCAAGTTGCGAGACCAACCCAAGCTCAACCCAATTTATCAAACCCTTAATGAGAGTTAACCCAAACCATTCAACTGGAATACTTTCAATGCTTAAAATTTTCAATCAGGTTGAACACCGGTTACAAAACTTGGACAAAATTTCCAGTTCAACATTTTTGTGGGAATTTAGTTTTGAAATCAATTTCCATTTAAGTTCGACTATAGGATAACACAACTTGGGCTAAAATTTATGTTGGGTTCCACAACCTCGATTACCAACCAGAGCATTGCATGAATTTAAATGGGGTAAAGATTTTTTGCTCAAGTCCAACCCAAAATCACTATACAAGTACTAAATATTCTGACACATGGAACCACTTATTACATAGGTTTAGTTGTAAGACATTACTTTTTGAATTGCAGATCATTTCTTTGAAAACTACCAAATTCTCTTAGTAACTTAAAATAAAGAATTCTTACCCAGCTACAAATTCATAAAATGAATATTTGACACATACCGTCATAACACCCGTTGCTGCGCTAACACCAGCCTCGCCAAAAATTGTTGTTGCAGCCTCGGTGACAAGTGCAGTAGCTCCAATATTGACCACACTGAAGAAATAAAATAAACCTTTTGATATCAATAATTGAATCCACAATTCCATACAAACACAATTGCAATATTAAGTCAGTATCCAGGATAAACTTCATAGTACGTTGTGCCAATAAGAATTGTCGTGAGGAAACGAGTGACATCATTACGAAGCATTCTAAAAACACCACCCTCTGGTTCTTTTTCAGCCAGCTCACGAACCTGACACAGCAGTAACATAATTACTTATTCTATAGAAAAAAGAATATCAATAATATCTTCTTTGGGCCAAATATTAGGAAATGAGAAAAAAATGATGACATTGTTTATAAAGCACATGCATACCAAAGCACACAATTATATTAGAAAATTTTTTGGAACAATCAATTAGCCTAGCTAAGTCAATCCAAATATTCTAAATTATTGACTTAGAAAAGGTTGAACCTCTTCAAAATCAGTTACGTTAAACAAACCCCAACTATGGACGATATCAAGTTATTTAAAACATCCTTTTCATTTCTTCTTGTTTGATAACAAGGACAAGAAAACACTGGAACAAAGATTTTGGTAGTGGTGACATTTTTCTGGTTTTTAATGATTTTCTATTATATATATATATATGGGGTTGAGGTCGAGAGGCAGGGTTGTCTCACCGTGCCCAACTCTGTTAATGGGCCCATTTCAGGGAAGCATGTCTTTTGACTACAAGTTGAACAATCCAAGAATCCGGAGTAACCAGGCAGTCATAGAAGCCATAAAGTGTTCGATCTCGAACAGAAAAAAATTGTGCAAATCTGCCAGACTAAATTGCTTGTAGCATAAAGGAGGATCCGTAAGATGCAGGATGCAGCTATTTTGTGGATGATCAGAAAAGTTTTATGCCAAACCCAAGAATGTAAGACTAATATACTGATCAACATTAAAAAGGGAAAATCGATTGTACCAGAGTTATCTTCTACGTTTAGTAAGCTAGTGACAGATCCCCCACTCTTTTCGACTTCCACTGAGACAATAACAAGGCCCTGGTTCAATGAAACTGCACAGAACTGTGGACCCATTTGATGGATAAACCAAAGCCATCATTCAAGTGAAGTGAATCATTAAAGCATAGAGGTACCGACATGCCTAGGTGGTAAAGACACCTAGTAGCAGTAGTAGAGACTTGGGGTTAAAAATCCCACCGTTATCCCGTGTACGAGAGTTTTTAATTAGGGAAGCACAACCAGAAATGTGTAGTCATCGTAGCCATTGGAACCAAAAGATAAGATTAACAATACTTACCTTGTAGACAGTCAACAGAGGCACGGCATCAGCCCAATTATTGTACAATTACATCCTACTCATCGTAGGGTGTCGGGTGTCCCTCATGTAAACAACTTCCAAGTAATTTAGATGGCACATTCCATCATATCCATTTTTCCTGTGTGCCCATAGTTGCAGATAGTCTGCCTATAAACATTTCCAACTACAATAACCTCCCCAAAGCATATCACCGACATCCATCTTTTGCATCACAATCACATATCTTTGTACCACATAGTATTATTTATTCCTTTTCTCCAAGGCTTCATGAGAAACCTACACTACTTCTCAATTTTTTAGCTTCACAAAAAAGACTGGACTCTCTCATTTTTCTCATAAACTATGCCTTAAAGAAGCCATCAGTATTCATAACATTGAGTCACAAATTGTTCCCATTTCTCACCAGAATGTGGCCTAATGCATTCCTAAATCCCAAGTCAAACCTGACTCTAATACCAAAAATAAATGAATAAAATTTAAATCTTTTGCATCCAATTGACGACCACGTTAAGATCTCAAACATCAAGAACCACTCATATGACTCACTAGCCAAGACATGGGGTTGAGAATGTAGTACAAACCGCCATAAACTCAGAAGCTTTATGTAATTAATAGTACAAATTGATAACAGGAGCAAAACACTTGTTTCTCATCTACGCAATTGTTTCTATAAAAACATTATTTACACAAACATGTTTTACATGCACAAATTAGAACAAAGAGTAACATGAATCAGCAAACCAAATTTTTTTCCTAAGAGACCGACCACTTTCGGAGTAAAATAGCATACCTTCCAAGGCCAGAGCGTAGTAATTGAAGTCTCTGCCATCGAAAAGAAAGCAGACAGACCCAAAAGCGTAAATAATACCAAACCTTGCTCTTTAAACACAAACAAAACCTTCAAAAGATTAGGCCAAATACTCTTCAAATACGCTACAGTCCTCCCCAAAACCCCATAAACACCACCAGCCACCAGTCCCTCCGCTGCAAACACTCTTCTACATAGAATTACATTCAAACCCATCAAACACAATACCAACACGCGCTTAACCAAAACCCCAAAATTCCCCAATTTTGAATCTTCTTTCACTGTTTCGCGTTTTTGAACTATAATAGTGCACTTCGAGCTAAACCCATTACCAAATACGTTGCCTATTTTGGGTAACCTGGAATTGATTGGGCTTCCGAGAATGTACGACGACGTCGGGTACTTCGTCGTATTGAAGGAGGGGTAACATGGTATTCCTGAGAGAAGTTTTGATGGGAATTTTAGTTGGCGATTACATATTACCAAATGCGGAAACACAGTTGGAATTCGAAGTGAACCGCGGCTGAGAATTGCAGATTCCATTGAGTTCAATCAATCAAAGATATCAGAAGGCACAGAGCAGTTAGTATGAGAGATTGTGATGACTGATCAAGAGCTGAATTTCAGGTTCTAACAGAAGAAAATGGAGGACTCTGAGAAACTCTGCATGTAAACGAAGAAACTCCCAACTGGTGATGAGATTGGGGATTGTCGTTGGGAGTGGAGCCCCTCTGCTGTTAGTGGAACGGTGCCGTTCCAAGCAATAATAAAAGCACCCAGCATCCAGCAAATGAAAGGAACCCAGCGTCGAACAAAACGGCGCCGTCCCTAACCAAGCCAAAACATATTATTATTTCTCCCGCCAAGCCAAAATACACTCCAAGCTCTAGCAATATGGACGTCGTCACCAACCCAAAACACAGTCCCTCCAAGCTCCGGCACAATCCCTCGCCAATAGCAAAAATCTCACTCACCAAAATCTTCTCGTTCCACTCGACATCCCAAAAAATTTCTCAAGTAATTTTATGTTATATCATATTTATTGCATCAAAATTAATTTTGTTGTATGACTTTTATTGCATCAACATAATTTTGTTATATCACCATTATCTTTGATTTTTATGTAAGCGATGAAATTTTTATGTTAAAATTTATCACCATAAATTTTTATATTCTTTGTCTTTCATTATCTTCAACCTTTCGTGTTTCATTACGTTCATTATTCAACTCTTAAGGATAAGAAGAATCCAACCATGAAGTATGTAATATTGATATTTTTTCATAATTTTTTTATGAAATTTAAGTTCATAAAATTATGAACTTCTTTTTTTTAAACTTCCTGTAAAATCTTGGTAGAATTATGTGACTACTAGCATTATTTCTACTACGTTTTTGTGAGTATATTTGATTGTTCGATATATGGATATTGATGTTTTAGGCTTTAGTGAAACTGAGTTATATAAGTTTTGATACATAAAATTTTTTTGTTCACAAGGAACATAAAAAATAAGTATTTACTTGTTCAATTTGCAAATGAAAATTTATATGGGCAGTTTTTGATCTTATGTTTAATGTGTGTAACTATTTGATTACTGTAGGGGACATAATTTATAATCGAGATGGAATGTGTTGAGATTGATAAAGCAGACAATACTCGATGTATTGGAATGTAATTTGACTCGGAAGAAGATGCTTATAGGTTCTATAACAATTATGGTGGAACTGTGGGATTCAATGTGAGAAAAGATTATCACAACAAGAGCTTGAAGGATGGTGTATTAATTTACAGAAAATACGTATGTTGTAAACAGGGACAAAGGAGTAAAGATCAAAGGGATTGGAAAACAACAAAGGCTCGGGCAGAGACTCGAACAAATTGCCCCGCTCACATATGCATATCCCTCAAGAGAGATATTGGAAAATTTGTTGTTGTTAAATGGGAAGACCAACAGAATCACATTTTGCACTTGACCGAATGCATGCATATGATGTCATCCCAACGAAAAGTTATTGTAGTTCAAGGCATCAATGTTGATATTGCTGAGGATTGTGGAATATCACTTAAGACATCCTATGAGCTTTTGAGTACCCCAAGCAGGTGAGAGAGAAAGCTTAGGGTTCACTCATCAAGACCAAAAAAATTACATTCGAAAAAGGAGGCAACAAGATTTGAAATACGGTGAAGCGGGTAGTTTGTTGCAATATTTCTAAGCAGAATCAGCTAAAAATCCATCATTTTATTATGGAGTCCAATTGGATGTCGAAGAGCACATAACAAATATTTTTTGGGCTGATTCAGGGATGATTATTGATTATGACCACTTTAGGGATGTTGTCACATTTGACACAACATTCCGAACAAACAAGGAGTACCGACCCTTAGACATTTTGATTGGATTCAATCAGTTCAGGAAGACGGTCATATTTGGTGTTGCATTATTGTACGATAAAACTTCAGCATCATTTCAATGGTTGTTTGAGACATTTCTACAAGCAATGTCTGGGAAGAAGTCTGTTATCATTTTCACTGACCAAGATCAAGCAATGGCTAAAGCTATATCTATAGTGATGCCAGAGACATATTATAGATTATGTTGTTGGCACATTTCTTAAAATGTTTTAAAGCATTTAGGGAACATATATAAGGATGGTTCAAAATTTTCAACCCAATTTAAAGGGTGCATGTATGGATACGAGGAAGAGTATGAGTTAGTTGATGCTTGAAAATTATTGTTTGATGAGTATGATTTGCATGATAATAGTTGGATGAATTCAACTTGGGCACTAAGAGATAAATGGGCACATGTTTATATAAAGCGGACTTTCACAGCCGGTATGAGGAGCACTCAGCTAAGTGAGAGCTTGAACTCAGCATTACGAAAGTACTTAAAGCCAGACCATGATATTGTTCACTTTTTTACTCATTTTGACAGGGTTTTAAATGATAAGAGATATAAGGAGACAGAGACGGAATATCAAGCTAAGCAAAAGTTGCCTAAAATGAAGTTGAAAAGAGCTCCAATGTTGGTGCAAGTAGCTCAATGTTACACTCCTCCTATTTTTGATTTATTTCAAGATGAATATGATGTATTCCGGTGTGCTATTGCAAGTCCTTGTAATGTGTTCGATGGATGTCATGAATTTGTGGTGGAATTGTATGATGAAGAGAGAAAGTACATGGTGTTGATCAATGTCAATGAGCAAACCGTTTTTTGTAGTTGTAAAAAATTTGAAATGATTGGGATATTATGTGGTCATGCACTTAAAGTGCTAGACACGATGAACATTAAGCAAATTCCTGACCAATACATAATACAGAGATGGAGGCGAGATGCAAGAAAGTGGTCAAGTCCTTATTCCAGTGCCACACTAAATGAGGAGGATCCCAAGTTGATGGCAGCATCACGTTACAGACAGCTATGTCCTAAAATGGTACATTTAACAGCTCGTTGTTCTAACCTTAAGTCTGCACACCAGCTGGTAAACCGCGGTATTGATGAGTTGTTCAAACAAGTGGATTTGATGTATGCATCACTTAGTACTAAAGAGGACAATGATGGTGATTAAGGAGTAGAAAATCTATCTCTCTCTAAAAGAATAGAAAATGTTGAGCCTAACATTGTACATGTAGCTGGCTTGAAGAGGAAAGATGGTGGTTACAAGGGTTGGGGTCGATTGAATCCTTGGAATGAGAAGTCAACGAAGAGGAAAACTGGAACTTCATATAGGTCTAACGTATTACAACCCCAACATTATGGTTATGATATTTTGGATTCTTATTTTTTTTTTAATTGTATCTTACATCTTTGAATGCTTGTTTTGAAGGTATCTCAATCGAATGAGCAAAATTCACATATGAATGGATTTATCTACTCATGGTCATCAACTTATAGTCACTCAAATCCAATCTCAAGCATGTCTTCTCAAGCATCAATTGCTTCACAAAATGCTCGGGTAAATGTTGAATCATGTTTTTTGGACAACGTCGTTGATTATCCTAATGAGGAGAATTGATGTTGCTGCAATGCTGGATGTTGTTGCAATGTGGTGCTTCAAATTTTTGTTCAAGATTGACAATTTTTTTTTATCCTTTTGAAATGTGGATGGTGGATCTTCTTTTGCTATGGGGATGGTGGATCTTCTATTTTGTTGTTTTAGAAGATCTACCATCATTTTAGAAACACTTGTGTACGTGATCTCATTTTTATTATTTTATGGAATTGATCTTGGACAAATAATTTTTTTTTATCTTGGACAAGTAAATTTTTGTTATGTACCATGCAACAAAGCACCATGTTCAACCAATCAATACACCAGTATATCATTTTCAACCAACCAATACACTTTATTTCATAGAAAAAGAATTACAATCAATGAGACAAGCAGACAAGCCCTGCTCTGTCATTATCCAGAAATCTAAGAAAATAGTCTCCAATTCTGTCCTGACTGCACAGTCAATCTGCCATAGACTGCAAAACCACAGCATGCCTCCAAAGAAGAGAATTTTATTTATTGAAATCCAAAAATTACAAGAAGCAAAAACAGAAACTATTAAGCAAATAGTAACTGTTTTAACAATCTAAAACAGAAAACTGTACAAAAAAACAGTTATTATGCAGATCCTGTACAGCCACTATATGCAGAACCTCACAGCTCAGTACCTGCCCATATAAGGTTCTGCAGCTTCAAAGTCTGGAGCAAATAACCTCCAGCTTAAAACCTCCACCCTGGAACCTGATGCAGAGCCTCATCAAATTTGTTCAGGAGTGCATAACAGCAGCATTGCCACACAACAGGGCCAGTCTGTCCAATCTGAAATTGACCAAAATCCATGAAACTTAGAAGCTGACTTTAATCCTTCAAAGGATCAAACCAAATCCGTATTACAATGATGGACCAGGGCCTGACTCCATGCTTGCATCCTATGGTTGCAAAACATATTATCCCACCCCAGCCCTATGCCTTTGATCACAAACTACAACCCTCCTCACTCTAGCATTTGTATCATAATTTGATCCTGTAGCATTTGCCTGCATCACATTCTATTAACCAAAAACTAGTGTAACAGAAAAATAGAAGTCCAATACCAATTGAAGCAGACAGAGACAAATTCAGTTTATATAAACAACTGACTGTATGTAGAAAGCTTCTAGATAAAAAAAAGGACACAGTAATTATATAAACAGACTACAATTTCATCACAGCAGTGTACTAATTAAGAGATGTGGTGAGAAATTACTGTATGGAATAGTTATGAATCCTTCATGTTCAGTAACATCCTTGTGGTTGTCTACAATGTGAGGAGTATTTTTCCCATTTGCACCTGCAAGACCTCCATTTTCACATAATTTGCCTCTGCCTGAAATTCTTGAACAGATGGTTGCTCTGTATGAATGTATTTCTGAAATTCATTTTTTTCCAAAACTATTTTTGAAATATAAGAATAGCACATTTAATCCAATTCTGTATGAATGTACTACTCACAAAGAAATTAAAACTGAGAAGAAAATTACTGAACTGTAGCGATAGTGCTTGAATTTCAT